GCTTTAGAAATTGTACAAGCAGAAACAGATTTTATTTTACAACAATACATAACGTAGGTAAAAACATCCCTAATGCATTTATACATTTCTATGCTGATGACACAGTTGTTTATTGTCGAGCTAAAACAGTTGATAAGGCTTTCCAGCTTTTGCAAGCCACATTTGACATCATCCAGACAGACTTTCTCAGTCTCAAACTTGTCCTAAATACTGATGAAACCTAAAAGATGCTTTTTTCAAACAGCAAGTCAGTCCCATCAGTTCTTCCTCTGATTTTATCCTCAAATGTGTCACTATTGAGTTCGTCGATTCCTATAAATATTTGGGTATCTTGGTCGACTCACATCTCTCTTTTAAGCTTCACATAGAAAACCCAGTAAGGAAATTGAAAGTTAAACTGTGTTTCTTTTTCAGAAATAAATCCTGTCCAACTCTGAATGCTAGGAAATGCCTTGTAACTATGACTTTCCTTCCCTCCAAAAGATCTGAAGCTCTCAACCATGACCTCTCTAAGTAGCTTTAAACATCTGTTAAGTTCCTGGCAAAAACCAATGCAGACATGTTCCTGTTTTTAGTTTTCTACACCGCCTTATAATCTGTTTTTTTCTCGCTACTTTTCTTTTTGACTGTCCTTTTTATTGCTATTTTGTTTTGATTTGTAAAAAAAAAGAAAAAAATTGTATGCCTCTTTTGTGACTGTCTGACTGTCTGACAGTCTTTTGTGACTGTCTGACTGTCTGACAGTCTTTTGTGACTGTTGTGTTACCAGAGCAAAGTGGGTACTGAAAAAGGGGCTGGTTCCACGAATCATTGCTAGTGGAAAAGCCTTGGAACCATGCCAATTCGAGTCGAACCGTGCCATACTGGCACTAGTGGAAAAGGGGTATTAGTTCCTGTGACGACCTCTGAAGGGGGAAAAGTCAAAAAAGAAGAAGAAATATTTCCATTGAAATAAAGAGACAAATTGAAGTCAATTATTTAATAAACATGAAGGTTATGAGGGGGTCCCTGAAACTTTTTCTCCCCTGTAAGGGGTCCCTGAGCCCAAAAAGTTTTAGAACCCCTACTCTAGAACACTATTAGGTGGACTTTTCAAATCTTTAGGCAAAATCTTGCCGCCCATTCAACACAGTCACGCTAGCTAAGATGCTATGCATTCCATTTCTCACACACCCTAACCCCACCGCCCCAACAGCTGACATCACTATAGCGGAAAACTAGCGCGTAACACGAAGGTGTCTCCCACTCCTCCCCCAGCCCCGTCGACAAACCCCCGAAGAATTGAGCGCGCTGCTAAGCCAAATAACCGAGGAGGAAACGGTTTCTTAACAGAAATAGTTAACAGTTTCTTCTTCCTTTTAAAAGGGAGTTTTTCCTTTCCGCTGTTGCCACTGTGCTTACTCAGGATGGGAGACTGCAAAAAAGTGAAGATTCAACATGTCTGCTGGGTTCTTTAGATAGAGAACTTTACTAATTGGCTTTTTATATATGTGAATGTTTCTTTAAAGTGCCCTGAGACAAATTTCTTGTGAATTGGCTTTATATAAATAAACTGAATTGAATAAAAGGGAAATGACCCCCCACCCACCCCCCACCCAAAAAAAACCCCTATTCAAATCTACACGATTCACGTAAATGACATATTTAAGTTTGAAATTGGTAAATTTTGCCATGAACCAACTAGTTTGCAGATAGGCCTTTAGAGGTTTTCTAGGCATGTACCACTGGTAGGAGGCCCCTGGGAAGACCTAGAAGTCTATGGAGGGATTATCCATTTTCTCTGGCCTGGGAACGCATTGGGGTCCACAGAACGAGCTAGAAAATGTTGCTGGGAGAGGGATGTCTGGGTTTCTCTCTTGAAGGGAGTGCATATCACCCAAGTTTTAAACTAAGATAATTAAATAATGAGAAATTAAATTATTTATTATTATTTATTTATTAAATATCTTAGTGTTACATTCAAAATAATTTACATCACCCAGAAAGAAGAGACAGAATGTGGTTCAAGATAAAACAAGTGGAAAAAAGCTAAATTTAATTTAACTGGCTCTCCGGTATTTCGCTGCATGTGTGAACAAAAATGTGATACTTCCACGTGTTTCTCAGGAAATATCTGATTTCTTGTCTAAGATACTTCATGATTTAAAAACATTTTATCTTCCTAATGAACTCAGACGTGTTTCTACCAGTTCTGGCTCTTCAGATCGAGTCTGAGGAGAAAATGTTTGCTCAAGATGAAGCTAAATTACCAAGGAAAAAAGCATATCCATCTCAGACTGATTCAGAAACACCCAGCAGGCTTCAGATTTAATGGAGCATACTCATGATGAGTTCCAAGACAAGGTTTTAGTTTTTTTCAGCAGGATCCAAACTCCTCGATCCACTTCTCGTACTTTTCCAGGTCTGCCGCAGACACGGATTTGGACACTTTTCTTAGCGTTGACTCAAAGTCCTCCATGGTGGTTGGCATGTGCATTTCATCTCGAGAAAGGTTACGGATCTCTTCTGGGGTGAGACCCTCAATTCTTCGTCTCATTGCCATCAGGGAGGCGTCTCTGCAATGTCAGTAAAAAAAGTTTGGTTAAAATGCTCCATAAACATCAGGTAGAGAAACTTTTCATTAGTTCTTCCTGTAACCCACTTGATTAACATTAAAACATGTTAGCTTAAGATGTAACTATCCAGGAGGTGGAAATGATTGTACATCCTACCACCTAAGTGCGACCATGTGCCCACTCCAGATCCTATATATGCAACTTATTTATGCATATATAGATTATTATTATTTTTTTTTTCTTTCACAAACACCTCCTTTCTCTGTGTGACACTAGGGGTCAGGGATGGGGGGGGCATTGTTGGGGTCTGGGCTGTGGGTGGGCTTTGGGCCATGGGGGCGGTTGGTGATGGGGCCGGTGCATCGGCTCCCCGTGGGCTGTTCCGATTCTTTTAATCTAGATTCCTGGTTGCGATGGCCGGCACTTTGACCGGGATGGCTGCCGGCTTTCGGCGGGGTGTCGGCTATGGTAGTGTACGTGTGGTCATTGGTGGTGTAGGGCGGCGGTTGGGGGCGTGGCTTCGCCTCATCAGGGCACTGGCTGGTCTTCCTGGGTGGCATTTGCGGTGGGGGTGCTGTGTGTGTGTGGGGGTGCATGGGTGGCGTGCTGGGGCGTCTCCGGGCCTATGGTGCGGAGCTCTTGATGTGGGAGCCGGCCCTCCTCGGCTGCAGCTCCCTGCTGCTCTGCCCCTTGGGCTGGGGCCGGCCTGTGGTCGCTGTCAAGTAGATGGTGCATGCGGTCGGCCCGACAGAGATTCTGTCGGGCTATCTGTGTGTGCCTGTTTGTTGCTCAGGTTGGGTTTTTGGTGGTCCCCCCTCTCTTGGATCAATTTGGGCCCCACGTTTGGTGTGGGGCCCACTCCCCCCGGTCGTGCCCCCCTTTGGCGGGGGACCCCCTTGCCGCCGGTGCATTGGTGGCTCTCGGCGTCTGGGCTGGGTGGTGGGGTGTACGTCGGTCCGCCCTGGTTGCTGCCTGGCAGGGCCTGGGTGCCCTGGCTCTGTCGGGGCTCTGCTGGGGGGTGGTATGGCCTTGGGGCTTGGGGCTCGGTGTCCATGGCCGGATCTACTTGGGGGGGGCATGGGAGATGCTCTTTCACCCTGTTTATTTGCTCTTAGTATTGAGCCTTTGGCAGAGCTAATAAGAGCAAATCCCTCATACGAGGTATAACAGATGATGCAAATATACAGCATAAAGTTGCACTTTTTGCTGATGATATTTTAGTCTTTTTGGAGGAGCCAATCACCTCCATACCTGCTCTTCTAAGATGCCTTGATGAATATAGCTATGTCTCTGGATATAAAGTTAATACCAGTAAATCAGAAGCAATGATGATTGCTGGCAATTGGCCCTCCGGATTAGATCATTTAGTCTCCTTCAAAGATCCTCCCATGGATTTAAATACTTAGGCATTAACATTACCCCAAAAACTGCACAACTTTTTGACGCTAATTATGGAAAACTTTAAGGAAATCAAAAAGGATTTGGAAAGATGGGATGTACTCCCTTTATCCCTTTTAGGTAGAATAGAAACAGTAAGAATGAATATACTGCCAAGATTATTATTCTTATTTCAATCCCTTCTAATATTAGTGCCACAATCTACGTTCAAAACCTTAGAAAAGCTTGTGCCAAAGTTTATTTGGCAAAACCAAAGGCCAAGGGTGTGCTTAAAAGTAATCAATCAACCTTTATTTATACAGGTAAATCCCATTGAGCCTCGAGGACTCATTTACAAGAGAGACCTGATTTCAACAAAGAAAGATGACAACAATGGACAACAGCAACAACAATAAGCAGTTCTAAAAACTCATACTACAGTTTTTTTTTTTTTTTTTTTTTTTTTAACAAATAGGATGGCTAAGAGGAATATCCCAGGTAAAGGCGTGCGTGTACCGCGCCTCCGGAGACGCTGGGTTGTAATTCTGATGTTCAGTAGCTCCTCGCGAGTGTAAGAGCACGCAGACACATGATTAACGCACAAAAACAGAAAAAACAGAGCGCACCAGAATGCCAGGGCGACCGTACATGGCCGTACATGGTAATATTGACCAGTAAAGAACGAGGAGGTCTAGGACTACCTAACTTTAAACTGTATTACTGGGCGGCACAATTGCGTGTTATTTTAGCCTGGATCACTAATAAAATAGAAACACAATGGGTCTCAATTGAACAGAACTCACTCCCTGGGTTGTCATTGAGTTTCCTACCATTCATGAGCCAAAGCTATCTAAAAAAGTTAAAAATGAACAATCCCTTGATTCTACAAACTCTGAAGACATGGACTTTAATTCAAAAACAACTTAAAGGTACTACAGGACTATCGCGTGCCATGCCGATTGTGGGTAACATTGAATTTATACCATCTATTTCAGATAGTGTCTTTAAAAGGTGGGCAAATAACGGTTTGGTTGTACTGGACCATTTGTTTTATGGGCAGACACTAAAATCATTCTCTCAACTGCAAGATCAATTCTCTCTGCCTTCAGTTGATCTATATAGATATCTGCAGATTAGAAATTATGTAACAAAACATGTGGAATGGGATAATATTAAGAAAGAACCTACTGATATTGAAGCATTTTTATACATGTACTTGAAAAGCAAACACTAACAAATAAATTAATCTCTGTAATGTATAGAAAATTGTTGACAAATTTGTCAGATAATACATTATATATTAAACAACAGTGGGAACTGGAAATTAATGTAATACTAACAGACAAAACTTGGGAAAATGTATGTTCTTAATGCCATCAAGGGATTGGGAACCAGATCTGGAAAGAGTTTGACTGGAAAATGAAAACTAAATTTTTTAAAACTCCTTTAAAAACTTTAATTTCCAAGAATACAATTACAGATAAATGCTGGAGGAACTGTGATATGGTCAGTGACCACACACGTCTTTTGGGACTGCCCCAAACTTAAGATCTTCTGGGAGAATGTTGGTTGGTTGGTCCAAGATGTCGCCATGTACGGTCGCCCTGGCATTCTGGTGCGCTCTGTTTTTTCTGTTTTTGTGCGTTAATCATGTGTCTGCGTGCTCTTACACTCGCGAGGAGCTACTGAACATCAGAATTACAACCCAGCGTCTCCGGAGGCGCGGTACACGCACGCCTTTACCTGGGATATTCCTCTCCAACGTCCGTTCCCTCTACAACAAAATGGATGAGATAAGTGCTGCTGATGAGAAGGAACAGCGATTTTTCCTCCTCCTGTGTGCTGTGCTTCATGGAGACATGGCTCAACGAGCAGACCCCGGACTCCGGGCTCCATCTCGAGAAGTCTCTTTCTTTATCAACAACGCCTGGTGCTCCGACGTGACAGTGATCTCTCAGCACTGCTCTCCTTCTCTGAAATATCTATTCATAAACTGCAAACCGTTCTACTCTCCACGTGAGTTCACTTCATTTATTCTGGCCGCTGTTTACATCCCAACGTGCGCGGACGTGCACGAGGCTGAGTGCGTGCTCGCAGACCAGATTACGAGTGTAGAGCGGACTTTTTCGGACTCCCTTGTTATTATCCTTGGAGATTTTAACAAAGCAAACCTCAGGCATGAACTACCTAAATATAAACAGTTTATTAAATGCCCGAACAGAGAAGGAAACACGCTGGATCACTGTTACACCACAGTGAGCGGTGCTTATCGTGCTGTGCCTCGTACTGCCCTGGGTCTCTCAGATCATGAGATGATTCACCTCATACCTGCATACAGACAGAGACTGAAGCTCTCAAAACCTGTGGTGAGGACATCCAAAAAGTGGACCAGTGAAGCTGTGGAGAAGCTACACACGTGTTTGGACACCACAGACTGGGACCTATTCAGGGCTTCTACAGACAGTCTAGACAAATACACAAACACTGTGACGTCATATATACATTTCTGTGAGGACAGCATCATCCCATCACGCTCCAGAGTCATTTTCAATAATAATAAACCTTGGTTCACATCTAAAAAAGTTAAATCTGGTCCTCTGGACATTCAAAAAAAACAAAACAAAGCAAAACAACAAAAAAATGTAGAAACGTTTCATCTCTCATCCGAGAGACTTCCTCAGTCTGAGGTGCTGTATTCAGCTCAGTCTCTTAAATAGCACCTTCTCAGAGTGGATAAACCAGTTTTGCTGCTGACAACCAAAACCAGCTGATCACATGCTCAAGAAGAACCATCAGCCTAACAATGGATCATTAGCACCTGATGGCTGTTTACTGTTCACAGAGGGCTGAGTGATACTAGCAATCACAGCATTGTAAGAGGGGGACAGTTGAACCTGGAGGCTCCACCCCTGTTTAATGATGGACGGTTTCTTTTCACAAAGATGGCCTCCTTTACTCCTCTCTCAAACCATCGTTCCTCTCTGTCCAGGATGTGAACATCTTCATCCCTGAAAGAGTGACCGCTGGCCTGGAGATGAGTGTAGACCGCAGAGTCCTGGCCTGATGATGTTGATCTTCTGTGCTGGGCCATCCTTTTGGCCAGTGGCTGTTTAGTTTCCCCGATGTAAGACTGATCACAGCCCTCCTGACACTGAACAGCATACACAATATTACTCTGTTTGTGCCGGGGGACTGGATCTTTGGGATGAACCAGTCTTTGCCGTAATGTATTTTGGGGTTTAAAAGCCACTGGGACGTTATGTTTAGAAA